TTTTTTTTTTCAAAAGCGAGCACACCTTCGTTTTTCGAACTTCGGCATCCTCCACCTCGCCGTTTCGTATGTTCTTCACGGGGCTTAGGTCCGGCGTGTTGGCCATGCTGGCGTTGCTGGTGTCCATCGTACCGTTGGTACGTTTCTCAGGCGAAGACTTCTCGTCGGCGAACACGGAATTATTGTTCTCCTGTTTCTTTGGCTTTTCCTGCCTATCTATCTCGGTATCTGTAAAACGGAAGGCAAGTAAGAGAACGGAACTCTCGGGAACGGCCACGAAAGTACGAAGAAAATTTTCGGTTAATACATGAGATATACACACATGAAGAAATAAAACGCTCGAGGGGGAAAGAAAGAGAAAAGTGAAAAAAAAAAATAGAAACTCGAGCATCATGCTACGGTGCAGAACATAGTTGTGATGAATCGCAGCGTATTTTCAGCCGCGGCGATCCTCATGTTCCATAAATCCAGGTAGGATTTGCAACAGAGAACAGACGAGAAGAAGAAGAGGCAGAAAAAAATTAAGAGAGAACGAGAGAAAAAAGGTGAGCAAGGATCTCGGAATAGTCCGATCATTCCTTCTAACGAGGCATTTTCACTCTTAAAAGTTGCCGCGGCTTCAGACCGTTCGCTTTGAAAAATTTCCAACGATCCATTGAAATTTTCAAAAGTTCACGAATATACGTACAGGGTGGAGAGGAAAGTTTGTCCCTGGTTATCGTAAATGAATTCTATACCTTCAACTCGAGGATGTAAGGAACTGACCTTGATCTTGACCTTGAATTTCAAGGTCAAAATTATTTCTCTTCTTTTGCATTGTATTGGTAAAAGACTTTTCCAAGGATACCATAGGTCACAATTTATAATGGTTCTCATGAAAAACGGCAAAAAAGTTTCTCAAGTTCTAACAGCGACTTTATGCTTCTGGACGCGTGGATGTAACGTTTGTATTTCAATTAATGTTAACAGTTGTTTTTATCACTTGACTGTTTAGACCTACAATGATGCTACAACTATGATAAAGCAAATGTGAAAGAAAAGTGAAACCAAAACGTAAAATAAAGTCGCTGTTAGCACTATCAAATGATTAAGAAACTTTTCTGCCATTTTCCAACAGAACTGTCAGATCCCTTGGGAAAGTTTTATATTCGTGACGAGTGGAATATAAAAAAAATACAAATAGAAAAATTTTCTCGACCTTGAAACACCAATTTTGAGGCCGAATCAAAGCCAAATAATTTTCTTTCCACCCTGTACATAGTTATTACCAGGATTGAAATTCAATCAAACCGCGAGAACCTTCGAAATGACCAAACACAAATACACAAACACGTAAGTAAATACGTACATGCACATCTCGTGCAGGACATTTTTTTTTTTTTTTCTTTTTTTTACGAGGGATGCGTTTCAAGGGAAGAAAGAGCGTTTTCGAAAAGAAGAAACGTACTTCTTGGTTCTCCTCGGTCGAGTCTAATCGTTATTAATCTACGAGTCGCGAGCGTCGCATTGCAGATCTAAAGAATATGAAATGCGTTCGACTAACGGTCTAGAAAAAAATATATGTACAGCTGAAGAAAACAATACATTCCCAAAACACATTTTCGAGACCAACGAAACAAACGAACAAAAGGAGAGACTCAAACGACTTGCTTGGAACATGCGTTGTGCAACAGCTCTACGTCTCAACAAAATTACATCATGGCTCGCCAGCGTGTTTCCAGGCTAAAAACTAAAAATCTCATTGCCATTCTAATTGACACTCGTCGTCGAGAAAACGACCAACCCAATTGCGCGGCGGGTCGTTCAAAGAAATATGTGTAAAGATGTGGATTTAAACGCGCATCCACGCTCGAGGAAGAGGGGGAGGGGGG